CTTGTGTCCCAGGTACCTGTTGCTGAGGCTAAGAGGTGGGGGCTCCATTCTGATGCCTAGTCCCTACTCATGGGATGGAGGCATTACCTTAGGTGTGGCACCACTGAGAATATTGGGGCCCCAATTGCCCTTGCCCCAGGTTGTAAGGTAGTGGTTCCAATGACAGGAGAGGCAAGCCAGGAAGACCCCAGACTACGGTCTTCCCTTTCCCACAGAGCACTCAGCTCCTAAAGCAGGAGTATCACTAAGACAGAAGCATACAGTTGTCCCCTCCCCCAATGCCAGAGCCGTGGACCAGAGGTTTTGGCTGAGGCAGGGGAGAAGTAAGCCATAAAACAGATATTTGCAATCTCTCCCCCAAAGGAACTGGTTTTCTTTACAACAGAGCAAGAAGTTCAAGCCTAAAGGTGTTCTAAATAGTGACAGTTGTGGCAAAAGGCAACTGAGAGATGTGTAGATCACACAGGAAGATTCAGGCTAAACTGTAGGCTAGCTAGTTTTCAAGAGAGAAGTGGGGAAAGAAACAATTGGAAGAAGCCCTCCTGGGGTCAGAACAAACATCAAACACTGACTTCTGGAAATATTACTTCAGAGGAGACTGAATTTGATTGGATGGTCTATAGCGCAATTTATGCCCCATGTCAGTACTGAAAACAATAGGGCAATTAGTAGGCCTTAACAGCTGAGTGTGGTCAAAGAAAGAGGGGGAAGAGTTCTGGCAAAACCACTGTTATCCTAGAATCACTGTGGGCATATCCTAAGCTGCACCTCTATGAGAAGCAACATCAGAGGCTTCACATGTGGGTGTTGGGTGGTGAGGGGGTGGGGTGGGGGGAAGAATGTAATTTACTAAAATAATCCAGCCAGTGACACTGAGCAGGGCCCTGTGGGGCTCCTGGGCACAAAGCCTTTCTGTGTCCCCCATTTCTTTGATTACTGGAAATAGCCTTCATTCAACCTCCATTACCTTCCCCGACTTCCAACGGACAGATTCAAGCAGTTGTTATTTAGGAAAGGGAGGGGATGCCAGACAAGGGAGAAACAAACAGTCAAGAGAAACAATAGTGCAGCCTTGGGATAAGGTCACACAAAGATATCTTTGAGCTGTTTTTCAGATACTGAAACCCCCTCCAGGTGGGAGAAGGTAACGATTAATGATGGTATGCTGCCCACAAGCATGTGGACCCCAGAGGAGTTGAAAACTGAAGGTTGATGATGCTGACCCCTACTTACCTCACCATCAACCCATCAGAAGAATGCAAGCCCGTCACTGCCTTGATCCTTATCACCTACCCCCCACCACAAGCCCTGTCTATAAGACCTCTCCCTATTCCCCAGGGAAGGGGCACAGTTTTTGAGGCCTAGCCTACTGTGTTCCCTCTTTGCCTGGCAAAGAAATAAAGCTACTCTTTCTCTTTCCTCTGAAATTCTGTCTCTGTATTACTATTTGGCACCAGGGTACAGAATACAAATTAATTTTTAATTTATTTTTGGCTGCATTGGGTCTTCATTGCTGCATGTGGGCTTTCTCTAGTTGCAGTGAGTGGGGGCTACTCTTCATTGTGGTGCATGGGCTTCTCATTGTGGTGGCTTCTCTTGTTGCAGAGCACGGGCTCTAGGCATGTGGGCTTCAGTAGTTGCAGCATGCAGGCTCAGTAGTTGTGGCACATGGGCCCTAGAGAGCTTGGGCTTCAGTAGTTGTGGCTCGTGGTCTCAGTAGTTGTGGTGTGTGGGCTCTAGGGTGCGTGGGCTTCAGTAGTTGTGGCACACAAGCTCAGTAGTTGTGGCTTATGGGCTCTAGAGCACAGGCTCAGTAGTTGTGGCACACGGGCTGAGTTGCTCCACGGCATGTGGGATCTTCCTGGACCAGGGATCGAACCTGTGTCCCCTGTATTGGCAGGCAGATTCTTAACCACTGAGCCACCAGGGAAGTCCCACCATAATTTTAAAAAGTAAAGGAAAATACAATGGCAATTTCACATCAAATAGAGAATATCAATAAAGAGATAGAAGTTATAAAAAAAGAACCAAATGGAAATTCTGGAGTTTAAAAGTACAATAACTGAAATGAAAAACTCACTAGAGAAGCTCAGCAGTAGGTGTGAAGTGGCAGAGGGAATAATTAGTGAAGATAAGTGGTAGAGATTATGCAATCTGTTTTTCTGAACAGAGAGAAAAAGAGGTGAAGAAAAATAAACAGAGCCTCACAGAAATGTGGGACATTATTAAGCATACCAACCAACATATGCATAATGGGAGTATTGGAAGAAGAGGAGAGAGAGAAAGGAACTGAAAAAATATTTTAAGAAAACAAATGGCTGAAAACTTCCCAAGTTTATTGAAAAAGATAAACATACACATCCAGGAAACTCAATGAATTTCAATTAGGATAAATCAAAGAGATCCACAAGCAGACACTGCACAGTAAAAATGCTCAAGTCAACATCAAGAAGAAAACCTTGAAAACAGCATGGGAAATAAGTCACTCGTCACTTAGTAAGGGAATCCCAATAAGATTAACAGCTGATTTCTCAGCAGAAACAATGGAAGCCAGAGGGTAGTGGGAGAATAGCATATTCAAAGTGCTCCCCCTGAACCACTGTTAATCAAAAATCCTATATCCAGCCAAGTTATATTTCAAAAACAAATGCTCAGACTCCCTCTGAGTTCCAGGTTGATGGAGGTGACTTCATGGTCGACATGTCTATTTGGATGTCCCAGGGGAATTCAAACCCACCATTTCCCAAAATGTCCTCATCATCGTCCCCATCCCCATAATAAGGAAAAATAATTCCTTCCTCCATGCTCTCCAGCTCAGTGCATGGGCCACCCTCCACCCAGGTGCTCATTCCAGACTCCTTCTCGCATAGCCCCAGGCCCCAAACACACAACCCCACATCCCTCTTCACCCCATTTCTTTCAACAGCCTCTCAACTTCTCTGCTTGCATCCACGTTTGCCCCCTTTCTGACGCATGGCCCCCACAGGAGCAAGAAAGATTTTTCTTAAATGCTCTGGAAGCTGCTCTGTGAGTAGGGATGAGGTTTAGTTGATGCGGACAGGGAAGAATCAGCACAGCTATCCACCGGCCAGCACACTGCCTCTCCCACCCCACATGGGACCCTTCAGGGCCTGGGGTGCAGTGAGAGGTCTGTGTCTCAAGGACTGAACTGTGGAGTCACACACAGTTGGGAGGTTGGTGGGGAATAAGGTGTAAAACTATTTGGGCTGAACCTTGAAAATACTGTGCTGGTGGGGGAAAGGATAAACTGGGAGATTGGGATTGACATATACATGCTACTATACATAAAATAGATAACTAATAAGGACCTACTGTATAGCACAGGGAACTCTACTCAATACTCTGTAATGATCTATATGGGAACAGAATCTAAAAAAGAGTGGATATATGTCTAAATGATGTACTTTTCTGTACAGCAGAAACTAACACAACATTGTAAGTCAACTATACTCCAATAAAAATTTTTTTAAACCTAAAAAAAGAAAAGAAAATATTATGCTGTGAAGTAAGCCAGACACAAAAAGACAAATACTGTATGATTCAATTTATATGGGGTACTTAGAGGTAGTCAGATTTATACAGACAGAAAGTAGAATTAACAGGGGCTGACGGGAGATGAGGGAGGAAGAATTAGTGTCTGATGAGTACAGAGTTCTTTCTTGGAGAATATGAAAAAGTTGAGGTGGGGGTGGTGATGCTCGCACAACAGTATGAATGTACTTAACGCCGCTGAATGGGACACTGAAAAAGGGTTAAAATGGTAAGATTTATGTTATGTATATTTTATCATAGCAATAAAACAATTGCTACTGACAAAAAAAAAAAGAATATTTGGGATTGATAGAGTGAGCGAGGAGAAGGCTGGAGGGAGGTGGATGGCAGCCTGTCTGTGCTCTGACAGGACTGAAGAGGAGCCCTGTCCAGCGACCTTAGAAGGAAACCATGCCGAGCTTCCAACTGATTGTCCCTCATCGGAAACACATCAGCCAGAGGCCTGCACGCGTTCCCCTCGTGTGTGACTCTTGCCCCTCTCTCTGCCCTCACAGTGGTAGCTGGCCAGTGTGGGGAATGAAGAGGAGGCAGCTTTGCTCTGGAGTTCTCCCAACTGGGAGCCAGTAAGAAGGCGATAGGATCTGGGAGGGACGATTGCTCCAGGGCCTGCCCTACCACAGCCTTGGGCCCTCCGCCATAAATACCTTCAACAGGTCTACGCGGGAGCTAGGCAGCTCCACCCTGGCTGGAGCTAGCCGCTAGAGTTCAGGTCTAACCTAGGTTGCAGCTGGGGGTCGGCCTGCTAGATTTTCGCCTGAATGACCTGGCTTATCGTTGTGGCACCTTCATCCTGGGCAAACGAGATAGTCAGCCTTGGATCCGTAAACCTTCTCCCATTCCATTCACTGCTGGCTGAATCCTGTGACTTGGGACAATTCTGGGTCAGACCCAGGGAGTAACTCAGGGAAATTACATTTTTAAGGGCTTGGAAGGGAAGAAAAGGGGGCCAAGGGGAAGGTCAGGGATGATTCTAGGTCCTTGAGAAGCCATGCTAGTTTTCTGAGAAAATGTGTTTCTTCGGAGAAACGAATATCCCAGTAGGAGCCCAGAACTGACTCTACCATTATTCCAGATACAGGAACTTCCTAATTCCCACAAGCCTGACACCAACAGGAGTACCCTTTGTGCCACCTTAAAGCATGGCTGCTGCTGGAAGAGCAGAGCTACCTGAAGATTATTCCAAGCCAGTGATGCCCTCACTTCCCAGTGATGTGCTCACCTGTAGCTAGTGAGGCCAGAGCAGCGTCAGAGCCCGTGTCCCTTGACTTCCAGCCCATTGTCTGTCTATATACCCTTATTACTCTTAGCTCTTCCATTTACATCTAGTGGCTTGAGGATTTGTCCTGGGCTAGCCACTGCCCTCTTGTCAGGTATCTCCACAATTTTTTTTTTTTCTGCAGCCGATGCTCCGGTAAAACAAGTATAAAATGAATGACAAGAAGTTCTCCTTCATGATGGGCATCTTCTGTATCCTCAACACCATCCAGTTCCTCATCTTTGAAGTGAACGAGGTTGCATACATCGGCTACGAGGACAACTTCAGCATCTACAAGGAGACAAAGTCTGAGCTAGTCTCTTGGGTCACGACCTACAAGAAGCACATCAACATCTGCCTATCCACCATCACCCTCATGGTCAGCTCCTTGTTCCTCTATTGCATCCACATCAGCAACTACGTGGGGCTGCTGTGTTACACCATGTGGATCATCACCTATGAGCTCCTCAGCTTCTCCGTGGTCCTGCTCACCAACGGGATCATCAAAGAGCAGTTCAAGGAGCTGAGGTACTTGCACTTGATTTTCCAGGTCTCCCGAATGATCCTGCACTTCTTCTGTCTGTCCTTCGTCACCAAGTATGCGTACTCCCTTTACAAGGACCTCAAGGCTTTAAGCAAGACAGGCCGCCGCAAACGCTCCTCTGTCGGTACAGTTGACTCGTGGTCACCTGTCGGGCTGGGAACCTTGTCCCACAAGTTAAACTAAACTGTGCCAGGAAGAAGGGAGAGAGAGGGACAGCACTCCCCAGTGGTGGCTCGCCCTTCCCTGCCTGCCTTCTGCTGATTCTCCTTGCCTTTTCCGGCTTCTCGAGTTTTATGCGCTTAAGAATGACCCTTGGGGGAGGGAGGGTTGCGTGGATCAGTTATTATACATGTGTATTTGTGACTTGTTTTGGCATTTAATTATAGACCGCCCTTGTGCTTACTCAACCATCTCATTGCTGTATCCTGTTGTCTCTCATTGTACCCTCCTCTCTGCACTTTTCTCTTGTGGATTGCCCACTGATGCCTGGTTCTGCTGAATCCTTTATGAGCAGCGCTATTTGATAGAAATTTCTGCGCTGATGGAACAGTTCTACATCTGTGCTGTCCACTAGCCACATGTGGCTACTGAGCACTTGGGACATGGTTATTACAATCTAGGAATCAAATTTAAAATTTTATTTGGTTTTAATTACTTTCAGTTTCAATAGCCACACGTGGCTGGCTTGTGGCTACCATGTCGCAGAGCACAGTAATCTGGAGCCTCATTTTACTCCTGCATATAACTGTAGACCCCCTTTCCAACTTCATGCATCACTCTGCTTTCCTCATAATGTTCAGAAAGCAGTTCCTCATGTTGGTTCATAACACGGCAAGAAGAATCCCCATTTAAGAAAGTTCCGGGCTTCCCTGGTGGCACAGTGGTTAAGAATCTGCCTGCCAATGCAGGGGACACGGGTTCGAGCCCTGGTCCAGGAAGATCCCACATGCCGTGGAGCAACTAAGCCCGTGCGCCACAACTACTGAGCCTGTGCTCTACAGCCCGGGAGCCACAACTACCGAGCCTACACGCCTAGAGCCCGTGCTCCGCAACAGGAGAAGCCACCGCAATGAGAAGCCCGTGCACCACAATGAAGAGCAGCCCCCGCTCACCGCAACTAGAGAAAGCCCGCACCCAGCAACGAAGACCCAGTGCAGCCAAAAATAAATAAATAAAATAAATAAATGTATAAATAAATAATAAAATTTTTAAAAAGTTCCACGATTTCTCAACTCAAGCACTATTGACATTTTGGACTGGATAATTCTGTCTCATAGGGGGCTGTCCTGTGCATTGTAGGATGTCTAGCAGCATCCCTGGCCTCTACCCACTAGATGTCAGTAGCATCCCCAGCCTTTTTTTTTTTTTTAGCATCCCCCAGCCTTGTGACAAACAAAAATATCACCATGCATTGCCAGTTGTTCTCTGGGGGGCAAAATTACCCCCGGTTGAGAACCACTATTTTAAAGCAACACACCCCCAGTGCTTAGAGCTGGTATGCCACTACTATTAACTAATGGAGTGTACCTTTAATAAGAGCTCTTTACATTTACCACCTTGTATAGTTTTTGTGTTGTTTTGTTTGTTCGTTTGTTTTATTTTGCTTTTGGCTGCTCACGGGCTTTCTCTAGTTGCAGCGAGCAGGGGCTACTCTTCATTGTGGTGCATGGGCTTCTCATTGCGATGACTTCTCTCGTTGTGGAGCACGGGCTCTAGGTGCACGGGCTTCAACAGTTGCAGCACGCAGCCTCAGTAGTTTTGGCGCCCGGGCTTAGTTGCTCTGCAGCATGTGAGATCTTCCTGGACCAGTGATCAAACCCATGACCCCTGCATTGGCAGGTGGATTCTTAACCACTGAGCCACCAGGGAAGTCCCACCTTGTATAGTTTTTAATTCTAATGTTCCCATTTTATGGTTTGATGAAACTTGAGACTCAGGCCGCTTAAGTGATACGATCAAGGTCCCATAGTATCAAAATCAGGATTTGGATCTACATCATCTAACTTCTTTTTTAATTAATTTATTTTTGGCTGCACTGCTGAGCGCAGGCTTTCTCTAGTTGTAGTGAGCGGGGCTACTCTTCGTTGCAGTGCACGGGCTTCTCATTGCGGTGGTTTCTCTTGCTGCAGAGCAGGGGCTCTAGGTGTGCAGGCTTCAGTAGTTGTGGCACTCAGGCTCAGTAGTTGTGGCTTGTGGGCTCTAGAGCACAGGCTCAGTAGTTGTGGTGCATGGGCTTAGTTGCTCCGCGGCATGTGGGATCTTCCTGGACCAGGGCTCGAACCCGTGTCCCCTGCGTTGGCAGGTGGATTGTTAACCACTGCACCACCAGGGAAGTCCCTAGATCATCTAACTTCTTATATGACAGTCCTACTTGGTTCCCTGAAGCACTTACTTTTACCAAGGTAAGAAGAGGGACCTCCTTTTAGAATAATTCCTTTTCCTTCAAAAAATGTTGGGAGTGAAGTCAGGGACACTGTTTTGACCATGCTCCTCCAAACCACGCGCACAATGACAGCAGTCCAGTTTTACTGAACACAATTTGTGCCAGGTGGCATTCTAACAATTCCCTCAATTCTTCCCACCACCCTGTGAGGGACAGATTTAGATCCAGGCCAGGTCCCAAAATGACCACCAGATGGCAGTCTGCAATCAGCTTTCGCTTAGTGCTGTTTGCCTTCTAAACCAGGTCCTCTAGGGGTGGCTGATTTTAGGATTTAGGGAACCTCAAGCTGATGACTGAGGATTAATAGCATGTGTCTCCACCCTAGTCTCATAATGTGTAACTTGGTACCAGAAACAAAAAACAAAACAGGCCAACTTCAGGGTTCTAATCCCCTGTCCCAGCTGGGGTAGCAGTGGGAAGGTCGTGTGTGGGGGTGGGTGTGGGTGTGTGGGGGTGGGGTGTGTGTGTGCAGAAGGGGTGGAGAGAGAAACAGAGTTCCAAGAATCAGCTCAGCTAAGAGTTACCTGCTGCCCTCAGATACAAGGCTGTGCGCACCTCGACACCAAGAGTCCTTGGAAAGTGCTGTGTCCACCTCCACTTCCCAGCCTCCCATTCTCTCTGGAACTCCTTCCACTCCACTGAGACAGCTCTTGTTAAGCTGATCTCCACGCTGCCCAATCCTGAGCTCAGCCTTCCCTTGCCAGACCTCTCCATGGCTTTTGATCAGCTGATCTCTCCCTGTCCTGCAAACAGGTTTCTCTTTTGGCCTACGGGACACCAGGGCCACCACTCTCCATTCACCACCTACATCACTGGTCCTCCTCCATCTCCTTTGCTGGTCCCTCTGCATGTCCCTGACCTCCAAACATTGACGAGCTCCCAGGCTCAGTCCTTGGTCCCCTTCTCTCCTCCGTCTGGGTCACTCCCAGCTGTCTTGGCTCAGGCCTGTCATGGGTAACCCCCATATGGACAGCTCCTGTCTGGACCTCTCCCTGAAATCTGTACTTGTTGGTCCAATTGCCTCCTTGCTGTGGCAGGTGCCTCTACATGGTTCCCAGAGGTCCCTGCCAATTGATATTCACACTCATCACCTCCCCTTGAGTGCAGGCTGGGCTAGCAACCCTCTTCTAATAAATAAAACACAGCAGAAGTGATAGGATGTCATCTCTAAGATTAGGTTACAAAACCACGATGACCTCAGGGTTGCTCGCTCTCTCCACGGGAGGCCAGCTGCCACACTGGGAGCATCTCGATGGAGAGGTTGGCATGGTCAGGAAGGACGTTGCTAACCAACAGCCCCCAAGGACCTTAGTCCTACCAACAGCCTCCTAAGTGAGCTTGGAAGCAGATCCTCCCCAAGTCGAGTCTTGAGAGGGGCCACAGCCCCAGCTGGACACCTCCACTGCAGGTGAGAGCCCCTGAGTCAGAGGACCTGTGCCAGCTGCGCCAGGGTTTCTGACCCACAGAAACTGACATAGATGCGTGTTCTCTTAAGCCGCTATGTTTGGGGGTAATGTGTTACAAAGCAATTGATAAGTAATACATGTGCCCAATAGCTATCTCAAAACCTGTTGCAATGCGTACTTGTGGTGGTTTTCTCCCATGAAGCTGCCCTAACGCCCAGTCTTTCCCTCCTTCACCCTTCCAGTTGCTCAGGTCAAGGACCCAGGAATCATCCTTGGGTTCTCTTTCTCTCTCTCAGCCTTTACCCAACTCCTCAGAAAACCCTATCAGCCCCACCTTCAATGTGCATTTAGATCCCACCACTTCTCATCCCCTCCCCTATCACTGCCCTGGCCCTGGCTGTCACTGCCTTTTGCCCCGGCTGTTGCAGTAGCAGCATCCTAACTGGTCTCCCTGACACCACCCTTGTGCCCTCTGCAGTCAGTTCTCCACCCAGCAGCTAGAGGGATCTTGTTGAAACCTAAGTCAGATCATGTTCCTCCCTCTACTCTGCTATTCACAACCTGCCAGGGCTCCCCACTACACTCAGAGGAAAAATCCCAAGTCCTCATCATAGAATGTTGGTGCTAAGTGATCCAGTTCCCTGTCATCCCTCCAATCTCCTCCCTAACCATTCTGTCCTTCCTCCCTCTGCTCCAGCTGCCCTGGCTGCCTTGCAGTTCCTCTTACACACCCAGCACACTCCAGCCTCAGGGCCTTTGCACCTGTCTCTTCAGCCTGGGATGTTCTTACTCCAGGGGTCCACTGGCTTCCTCTCATTTCTTTCAGGGGTCTGCTCAAAAGCTATCACAGAGCTCTTCCCGACCAACCTATGTGAAGCAGCTCCTCCCCCCACCCCTCTCTAACCCACTTACCCTGCTTTACTTTTTCCATAACACATTATCACCTGACTTACTATATACAGTTATCTCCCCCCAAAATATAAGCACCATATTATCTTCATTGCTATTTTCCCAGCACCGAGAACAACACCCAACACATAACAGATGCTCGATAAATATTTGTGGAATGAACGGGCCTGTACCCTCAGCAGAACAGAATGGCCTGTTGTTCCTTGTTTTCGAAATGATGCTTACAGTAGCTGGGCTGGTGGCGGGCAAATTACTACTCTGCTCTTTTGGCCTCCTCTTTCTACTCCTTTTTTTCTCTCACTCACTTCTGGAGACTCTGGTGAAGACTGTAGGCAGTTACATGTGGGAAAATACCCACAAAGGATACAAGAATATCAGCTTCCTTGCCCCTTTCCTCCTTCCCTAATACTTTTCCCTGCACCAGCTGCTGACACTAGAAACACCACCTCATCTCCCAGCGCCACCTTACCAAGCCTAAAACAAGCCTTTCAAACAATGCAGGAGTCCCTGGGAAGGGCAATACTCTGAGAGCTGTCACCCACTCCTGTGAAGATCTCTGGCCTTCCATCCTCTGTTTCTTCACTAGGTTTGCTGAGTATCTACTGCATAGCGGGCTCTGAGCTAGGAACAGGGGGATACCCTGAAAAGTAAGACACAGCCCACATTTCAAGGGGCTCCCAACCTAGTGAGGGGTGGGGGTCATTCAGGGCCATTTGGACCCAGTATGATAGGTATTGAGGGAAGCACCGGGGGCCACAGAAGGAAGGAGGTTGGAGAGTCAGGGAAGTCTTCCTGGAGGAGGAGACCTTTAAGCTGAGTCCTAGAAGAAAGTTTCATTTAGCCCTGAGAAGGGAGGGGAGGAAATGGAAAGGTGGGAGCCTGAGAAGGTGCAGATACCCCTGGGACAGTAGAGCTGTGCACTCGTATTCATCATTTCCACCTCAGGGTGAAGGAAGGGGCTCTGCACAGGGGAACGGTGGTGTCAAGAGGAAGCAAGCAGGTTCCAACTTCCCCAGAGAAAAGAGCGTCTCCCCTTTTCCCACGGCCTCTGCTGGCTGCTCCGGAAGGTGCTTGCTCTTAAGCATATAACCCCCGAATATTTC